GAAGAAGAAGAAGAAGAAGAAGAAGAAGAAGAAGAAGAAGAGAAGAGAAGAGGAGAAGAAAAGAAAGGAAGGAAGGAGGAAAGGAAGGAAGAAAGAAAGGAAGGAAGGAAGGAAGGAAGGAAGGAAGGAAGGAAGAAAGAAAGAAAGAAAGGCACTTGCTGCCAGGCTTGACCTGAATTCAATCTCTGGGCCCCACATGATGGAGACAGAGAACCCATTTCTGAAAGCTGTCTTCTGACCTACACACACACACACACACACACACACACACACTCAAAAGAAAGAGAGAGAAGGGTGGGCGACAGACAGAGAAACCACTTAGTCTCAGGTTTTGGAGTCAGCAACTATGATCAATTCTGCTTTGAACAGAAATGATGGGTTCTCATAGAGAGGAAACCCCAGAAAAGGAGAGTTTTTATTTGTTTGCTTTTGGTTTGTTTCTGAAACAGGACCTTACTCTGTATCCCATGCTGTCCTTGGCCTTATGGCAATCCTCCTGCCTCAGCCTCCTAAGTACTAAGGCTATGAATGTGAACCACAATGTCTGGCTGAAACTTTGTAATTTAAGTAGTAATGATGAAGATGCTGATGAGGGCCTTTGTAGATACTTTGCACTGCTATTTTTGTGTGGCCAGGAGCCACCCAACAAGCAAAGCAGGCAGCTGTCACCCCAAAGACTGGAGCCTCAGTGTCACAGATCATATCTAGCTTACACATTACACACACACACACACACACACACACACACACACACACACACACACACGCCTTGGGTCTGGGTTGGCCTGGATGCTTCCTGGGTGCCTCATTCTTCTGGGTCGACACATACAGTTCAATGCACAGTGCTTGGTGAATGAAGGCTAGAACGAGTAAGTGAAGGATGAGGAGAGCATAGGAAAAGGGCATGGTAGGGATGAATGGAGGGTGGGATGAGCAGAGAGGTGAATGACCACACTCGATGGCAGTCCTGGCCCTGACCTTGCTGACGCTGGTAGTGGGGTTGCAGGTGATTTTCCCCAGGGTGAATAACCTTAGGGCTCTGCCCCTCCATGTCCTGCCCATATCATAAAACAGCAAACACCTCCTGATTAGGGGCAGGGCCGAGAAGTGGGGTGACTTTGGAGCTGAGCCTTGGCAGTTGGGAGTGTTTATAAACTGGGACTCCAGCCTCCTCAGGACCAACCTTCTTCCTCAGCTCGCTGCTCTTTGCTGCCAGCTCTCTCCCAGCACTATGGCTTTCAGCGGCAAATTCGAATTTGAGAGTGAGAAGAATTATGACGAGTTCATGAAACGCCTGGGTGAGTTTCTTCATATTCCTTCCCTGGGGCTGGCTGCTTACAACCAGCTCTGGGATAGGAACCCAAGCCCTTGGGGTGGAGTGGGACAGAATTCCATCCATCCATCCACCCATCTATCCACCCATCTATCCACTCATCTATCCACCCATCCATCCACCCATCTATCCACTCATCTATCCACCCACCCACCCACCCATCCATCCATCCATCCATCCATCCATCCATCC